AGGTCTGAGAAATGCTGAATTAAAAAAAAAAAGTAAAACAAGCCATGAAAACAGATTTAGAAAGAACTTTAGAAAGAGTTTCAAAACAAGTCATCATCAGCAGAGCATGGTAGTGTCTATTAGTCTCAAATGGCAAAAGGTCTCAACCACTAACTCTCTGTTTAGATCTGTCTACCCAGACTAAGAGTAATCGGGTCCTCAGTCAGAAAGGTAACAAAAAAGAAAATGAATGAGATCCACAGTTTGTTGGTAGTATGGACAGAACTGACTAAGCCATCCTGGAGGCTGCTTTCATTGCCCAGACAAAAGCCATTCCTCACTGAGCATGTCTCCATAACACCAGGAGAAGCAAAACCCTTTAAAAAAAAAATACAAAATAATGATCATTTTCAGTTGTGATGGTAACTGACAGGAGGGTTTGGGGCAGCTCCTTTTAATCTCACCTGTGTTTTCCATCCCAACTCGCTCTCTCACAGCAGCTTCTTATCTTCAATAACTGTTTCTTCCTGATTGCCTCTTGTTGCATCCACTCCCACAATAGCTCTAATTTACTTACTAACCTGATTCTGTCCAGGAGTTTCTTTTTAGTGTGGGATCTCTCGTATTAATGGAAAGCAATTTACTTTTTCCATGCTACTTTGTTATTGGTCCAAAATAAATGCTCCACCACAGGATATCCAATCAATTAACAACCTGAACAGAATGTGCAGGTCTATGATAGGCTCCTAATGTCATGATCAATTCTCCAAAAAATATGAATCAGAAAATCAGAAGTAATAAATTGGAAAAGAAATTTTGAAGCTATCAATTTTAACTCTAAGTGACATCACATGTGGGCAAAATTACACTGAGTTTTTTTTCCCTTCCTACTGATTTAGTTTCCCTTTTCCTAACTGTTAAGGGAACCGTTAAATGACTGATTCGGTTCATCGTTGCAGCCATCTGGGCTGAATCTACATCGGGATTACGTTAGAGTGAGGTCACCCAGCATGCTACCTAACTCTACTCACCTGGATCTAGGTACTGCATCATCCTCGGTTGGGCTTACAGGTTTCTAGTAACACATTATGCAGTAGCTGTCGTAGCTTTTTTTTTTAAGAAATCTTGCATACGTCTCACTTAATTTGTTTACTGAACACAGAGATAAGTGCCTAACTATAAATCAATCCATCCATTATCTATAAGTAAGGAATAATATGTTGTGGTTTAGTTTTCCACATGTTACTGATGGCTTTTAAGTCCCCAGCAGTTTAGACTTCTTCTTCTCCTTAAGAAGGAATGATAACAACTGTTAATTACAAATGTATAATCTTTTGCTTTATATTTGCTCCTAAGGCTAAAAGCTGACAAACCAAGTTACAGCCAAGCGAGCTGAAATTAAACTATTGATTATCAAACCTATTCTCCACAGGCACAAAGATAAACAGGGTAGGCCCTCACAGGAGGCCACACTTTAATTAGTTTTAAAAACTAAACAAAATTATTAAAGCGTTTTATTTTTGAAGGTGCAGTCTATTTGAGTGCACGCTGTTACAAGTGTATTTTAACTATCAGCGAAGATGCAATACAAAAAAAAAAGTGTATTTTTCATCTTGTTGTAGTCGGCTCAGCAGTATGTTACCGTATATCTGCGCCTGCAAGGGTTTCCACCCACATTGAAGTTAACAAATGAGGCAGGGGTGAGAGTGGAGGAAGAGGACATGTCAACTGTCAAGTGGCTGTCAGGTTATGTAAAGGCAGGGCGAAGGCAGGAGCAGCGAGGACACCACGCTCAGTGAGCTGGAAAAAAATATGCGTCACAATCAATCTGCATTGATCCTCTGCAGTGGCATGATCTTCCAATATCCACTGAGTGTCAGAGGTACATGACCACTCACACCCGTGCATCTCTTCAAAGTCAAAAAATTAGGAAAAAAAGGAGAGAGAAGTCACTGAACACCTATGAAAAAAAAAACATGTTTATTTTACAAGAAGGGCACGTTTTCTGTACAAACTGTAAACTAAATACTGTAATTATTCAGAGGGTTATAATCTTTGACATCACTTTCATGAATGAACACCAGAACCATGTAAATAAATAAATATATAAATAGCCAGTGACTGTTGCATCCTACTGTAAATTATATTCCCACACTGGAAAAAACGTTCAGCATGTAAGCTCGCTACACACATTAAGGATTTTTTTTTTCAAGATAAAAAGCACTTGTGTTCATCACGACTACATTTTGAACATCATTGTACAATACTCAATCCCTGCAAGCCCCTATCCAAAATACTGCCACTGAATTATTTTTTTACATCAAGCTCTGTCACTGAATCAAGGCTGAGGTAGGGACTCCATCATTACTCTAGACAGTTAAATAAGCTGAGACATCATTGTTGAAATGGCTCCACATTCCCAGGGCTGGGGAGTGTTGTTCAGCCCTGCGTCTGTTGCATCGCTTGGCCAGTCATTGGAGGAGATGGAGGAGGAGCGGGACGAGGATGAGGGATTGTGTACTGTCAGATTTGCTTAAGTTGTCATACATCATGTAACTACACTGATTGAGAGACCGTGTACTGTCAACTAAAGCTCCCCAAAGCAACTTGTAAGGCAGCCTAGAGGAAATGCTCCAGATCAAACAAAACATTTTGCTTGTGGGACTCTTGCCTGACATCGCCCTTCTCCAAAATCAAAGCAGTGGCAGCTGAAAAGATGAGTCACTGAGTTTACAAGGTGAAGGCTCAGGGGGCGGTTTACATGGAGCCATCATCTGAACTCTCAGCTGGAGGTATGTTTTCTATAAATGTCTACATACAGCATATACAAAAACATCTGGTAAAATGTGCGAATCCAATCATGTGGCATGAAATGGCAGATTAATCCCAGTCCCATTCAAGAGTACCCGCACCCACCCTGAATTTCAGCTTATAAAACACTGTTTAGATCACAGCTTACTCTACAGTACAACCACATTCAGCCAGAAATAAGAATTTTGGCAAAAAAAATAAAATATTAATAATAATAATAATAATAAAGTCAGCAGGTGGGAGTTTAATTCAGCGCTTCGACTTAGATTAGAGGCAGGAAACAGTATCTGCACTCTATTTAATAATAAATTCAATCAGTGTTAACATGAGGGGTTGACTCACGAAGTTGACAGAGCCAGCCGAGAGAAAAGAGAAAGAGATGGAGAAAAAAAAGGTGAGTGTGTAAAGGGGAAGGAGTGGGAGGGGCAATCTTCCCCAAGGCAGTTTCCTTCCATGTCCAATCCTGACAGATTATATGCACTTCATGTTTTATTGCATGTTTGAGTTGGCTTCTGTTTGACTAAGAGTGAATTTAGAGGAGCTGCTGCAAAGTGCTAAGCTGATATGGCTAATAATCTACAAAAGGCAAGAGCTGAGTATAATTGGGGCGAGTTACAGCACATTGTGGCACTTGAAATAGCTTGAGCACTTGTAAAATTGAGTTAATTCATTCTGAAAGATACCTAATCTAAACTGCTCTTAATGAAAAGAAAAATCTCATTTTTTTAATAGATGGACACGTGGGAGGTGACAGGGAAGCAGAGAGGACAATGTGTTGCTTTTGTGTCACAAGCCAAGCCACATATTGAACTAAAAGCTTTCCCCCTTTGTTGCCATCTAGATACTATTGGATTTTCCAGAGCAGGAAAATCAAATGCTTCGTTCAAGACCTACTGCTTTCTATTGGATCGGTTCTTCCCTTCCCTGATGTGCGACAGTTTCATGCCTTCATGGACACAAACTGCATGCGATGGACACTCAAAGTGCAAAGTGCCTGAAAGCGTGCTGCTGAGCACTATTTCCCAAGGAATGCAGAGCAGAAAAAGACTATATCTATATTTGGCTCTGACAGTCATGTTTGCCTAAATACTAGATTTGTTTTAAATACTACATGAAACTGAAATATGTTTCTAGTGTATAGGCAGTGATCCCTATAAATAGATATCTGCATAACTTCCTAAACTCAGCTTATTCCTTTATGCCCTCTGTAGTGGACACACAAATCTCAAAAAGTTAGACTAAAAAGGCGTTTTTTTCCCTTCAGTTCTCAGGAAGATATGAATCTGCAGATATCTATTTATGTTAGACCCTAACAGATATCTATACAGAAAAGGCTACGTGAACCTTTCTGGTTTCTTGTTTGTCGTCCTGCTCTGTAGCACTTTTGACCAAACACGTGTGAACAGCTTGCAGTTGCATGTAGGTGCACGCTCCACATGAAGAGCTGTCATCTTTTGATGATTTAGTTTTATATTAGCTTCTTAAAATGAAACTGTATTGGCAAATGCAAGGCCACTAAAAAAAAAAAAAAAAAAAAAAAAAAATCACCTGTTGTCTGTCTCCTAGGTTAAGGTAGCAGAGTAGTCGATTGGTTCTGTGTCAGTCAAGCCAATGAATAGACTTTAATCCTTCTCTCCCTATAGTTTCCCTATAGTTTCAGTTGTATGCTTGGAATACATAATTTCTTATGTTAGATTATAATATTATTTTATGCCATGTTATACCCCTAACTAAAGATTGTGAATTATTATGTAGTTTTAGTTTGCATTATTCTCCTGAATTAGAAGAACCTGATAACTATTGCATTCGTTAAACTGATTTGCATTACATTAGACTGCAGATTTATTGTGGATGAATGATATTGTTTTATGATGTTATAAGAAATACTGTTTGCAGAAAGTCATCACCTTATTTGTCTGATTAGAAGAGAACAGAATATACTGGAGTTTTCTGCCCCAACTCAGCAGGAGCAGATAAACAGGGAGGCAAGGTCGTAGCTTAGGCGCCGTGTGAGACAAAAGCATGTGAATGTTTAGGCTTTTATGATAAGGTGGGAGAACCAGAGGCTATAAGAGTTTGAGCAATGCTCCACCATTTTGAGATCTGAGGCTGTCTGCATACGGTGTCCATCTCCCATGCGTGTGTTCATTAAAATCATCGTTTGACTTAACCCGGCCTGACCAGTGTTGTTATTGTGGTTTTTTCTCTTGTCTCCATCCCCAATATTTGAACCTTAACACTTACTTTTTGTTTGCTTAGTTTTGCTACTACACTCTTAAGTGATCGTTGGCATTGGCATGCACTGGTATAATCAATACTATCTTTTAATGTAGCTAAGGCTAACTAAGATATTAGCAAAGTTCAGACTGATTTAGTGCTAAATTGGACCTTATGGAGTCAGTCTAACTGGTGCAAAAAGCAGAGCTGTTCAAAAACATGACAACGGGAAATGGATGGCAGCACATCAGAAGCACTCACTAATGAAAACTGTCTTATAAGATTTCTTACTTCCACAGTCCTACATAAATTATAATTAATGTTTAGTTTTCAAATTTAACTGCGTTCAGACTTGACTCTGCACAGAGAGATACTGTCAAGCTGCAGAACGAGCAGTTTACAAAATCATATATCTGCAAGCTTAGAAAAGGTCAGTAAAAGTCACTTGCATTACGGCTGAGTCGACTTAGTAGCTGCTGCTCTACCCTCTCTGTCCAAGTGCAGTTTTTAGTTTTACACATTTACAATCTTTTTTTAATTATGGGCTGACGGCATTTGCCAAGAATAGAATCACAAGCACCACTTTAAATGGATGGTGGTGGCGGGGGGAGGGGGTTAAAACGGAGGGCTGCCAAAAACAATGGTGCAGACAAAATGAAATTAAAAAGAAGATACGGTGCAGGTGTGAAGGACTAAACTAACAGGGAGAAGAGTGGAGGAAGGAGAGAGGCGCTTGGCATTACTCAAGACATAAGGGCAGCGTGAAAGGGGGAAGGGGATGAGAAGAAACTCCAAAGAGGTTTCACTGAAGAATGGATGACGGGAGGCAAAGCCAATGAAAACAGGGAGTAAGGAGTAGAAATGGAAGAAACTTCAGGTCAGTCCCAGCTGGCTGAAGAAAGATCAGCATACAAAGAAAAGAAAAGGCAGGAACTTTCCTCGTCTCTTTCTCTCTCAAGTACACCTCATTTGGATAACAGTGGGTGATGCAGAGGTGGGAGGATGAGTTAAGAATAAAAATTTTTGACAATTTGGCTTACAGCATCAAACTCTGTTGTTGGTTTTAGTTGTAATCAGAACAGTGTTGCTTTGGTATCAGTATTTTTTGTTCTTACTTCAAATAAACTGCCACTGGAATTTAGCGATTTTGCTTCCGCTGTCATTAGAAATGTGCTAAAGGAAAAAAAACTGCAATAGCTGACTAACAATACTGTAGCAAAACCAATTTACCCACTTTGTTTGCTTTTTCATGAAACACATACAAAGCACCTACCTACAAGATATTTTACTAATACTATATTTTCTCCCACTGTATATACTGTGTTTGAATCCCTCCAGAATAGTGTCATCACTGTACAGTATACACATGCAGATGTATACATTTTTGCAAAAACTAAAAAAAAATGTATACATGTGCCCATAGGTAGTATTCTGCTGTTAATATTCACATTATCAACATTTATCATCAAATGTGTCAATGTCATCAATAAATGCTGAATATATTTTGCAGATAGTTATATCCAGGATAAAGTGCCTGTACTTTAAAACATTCTGTAGGTTTTTCATGTAGGTTTTTTTGACAGTCTTAAGGACTTGTATAACACACTCACTGGTTTCTTGTTCCTATAGACATGTGTCTCTGCCGTTTGTTTTTGCTGTCCTCCTGTGTAATCGTTTCTTGCCTTTGTGCATACGTGCATGCCTCACTGAATTTCAATGCACCTTTGCCTTTTCTCAACATGTCATGGCTTTGTGCTGTCCGTTCTGTGTTATGGGGTTGATCTTTTCCAGGGTGACTTCAGCATCGCTGTCTAAATTCCCAGAGATGGCTGGTGAGTGTTTCTCAAGGGTGTTGTTTGCCACGCCCACCTCGACCTCCCCTCCACTTCCGTCTTTCTTCTGTAATTCCTCCTCCTGACACAGGATGCTGTGAGGAATCACATAGTTTGCTGAGCTGTTGCCCTCCTTTGGGATGTGGCTCTTGGGCTCATACTGACAGTTGGGGTTCGAGGTAGGAGCACCCATATTGTTGTTAATACTGACGATCTCAATGGCGTTGCTCCCCGGGCACAGCTGATGGCAACCCAGGAGGATGGAGAAGGCCTTGCGGAAGTCGGCATTGAAGGCATAGATGATTGGGTTGAGCGAAGAGTTTGCCCAGCCAAACCACACAAACACATCAAAGGTGGTGGAGCTGATGCAGGGGAATTCTGTGGATCCATCTGGCATGTGTGTTTCACAGAATGGAACCATGCAGTTTAGGATGAAGAAGGGCAACCAGCAGCACACAAACACACCCATAATGACAGAGAGCGTCTTTAAGACTTTGGTTTCTCTTTTGAATGACATTTTAAATGAGCTCTCACTGTCCATGTTTGAACTGTTTCCCATGCTGCTGTGTCGGTTTTTGGCACTCTCTGCTGCTCGCTCCAAAGCAGATATTCTCCTTATCTGTGTCTGGGCGATACGGTAGATCCGGGTGTAGGTGACGATCATAATTGCCACGGGGATGTAGAAGCTGATAAGGGAGGAGGAGATGGCATAGGTCCTGTTAAGACTGAAGTCACAGTTGTCAGGGGGCAAATCATCAGGGTAGGTTCCATTTAGCTCGACATAGCTGGTGGTCTGAGCTTTGTGCCAGTTAAGCTGAACAGGAATGAAGGAGATGAGGACAGACAAGGTCCATGCCACACTGATCATCAGACACGCTACTTTAGGGGTCATCTTGCGTTCATAGCGGAATGGGCTTGAAATGGCCCAGTAACGATCGACACTAATCACACACAAGTTCAAGATGGAGGCAGTGGAGCACATTATGTCAAATGCCACCCACATGTTGCAGAATGCACCAAATGGCCAAAACCCCACAATCTCTGTCGCTGCCTTCCATGGCATTACCAAAATAGCTACCAGGAGGTCAGAGATGGCCAGCGAGATGACAAAGAAATTGGTGACCTTCGACCTCAGGTGTCGGAACTTGGTGACGGCAGCGCACACCAGGGTGTTGCCTAGCAGCGTGGTGAAGATGAGCAGGGAGAGAAAGCATCCTGTCAGAACACGTTTCGAGGAGTCTCTCTCTGGCGTAAGCTGCTTTCCATCTCGAACCGTTGAGAAATTCTGATCCATTGTTTATGTTACAGTTTTAATAAAGAGAGAGAGGGGATGGGTGAGGGGGATGTCAGCAGTCACCCCATCACATCCCCAGCCTGCAGCAGCTGTGCTCCTCCAAGGACGACTCTCAGACGGAGAGCGTAGCTGGTGGAGAGGTAAATTGTCTTGGCACCAGCTCTCTCACTGACTGGGTCATCAATAGGTTCCTTGTCACAACCACCATTCTTGCACAAGGGATGCTATAAATATTTCAAAATTCTCTCCTCAGGAACGTTTCCCTTAAAAATCTCTGGTTCATAAATTCCTGCAGCAGCAGCACAGAAGGCAGACATTCTAGTTTGCAGAGGAAGAAGAATATTCCAGCAATTTGCAAATGTTTTCTTTTTTTCAATCGCAAATTGAGTCCTAAAAAATGAGTAAAGCAGCAATAAAAATGAGTTTTAAAGACAAGTTCTTGGTCCCTTTTCTCTTGGCATTGTATGCCTCAGCTGTCAAGCCCTCAGCGAAAAGTTTCACAACATACTGTTGCTAAGCTTTTGAGTAAACAGAGGCTCAGCCAATCATTAGCCTTATATACCACCTCATCAATAACTTCTATTGATGGTTTTCGCACCGCGTTTATCTGATTTGTTTAATGATCTGCGAGGCGTGTCCCTGTGATTGTCCCAGTATCGACGCTGATCCAACCGACTACTAGGTAATGTCCTCTGTGTTATTCTTTTTAAACGTTCCTCTCTCCTAGTAAATGGCACTGTCCCCAGCTAAACATAACACCTGAGTGTTGAGGAAAAATAAGAAATAAATAAAATAAAAATGCATTCAAAAGTCTTAACGATGCGTTTTCAAAGAAGAGAGATGCAGATTAAACGAGAAAACCAGAAAAAAAAACGCATCACTCTCGCAGCGCTTTATATTCTGACACGATGCTTCAATTCAAACGCGTTTAGTTTCCTTTTGGCTGAATTTTGTAGCAATTTACCAAAAGCCTTTCATCCTTTAAAGTGCAGAGTTTTCATCCGGACATCAGCCCAAATCCCTGGATTTGAAATAAAGGCTCACTTCATTTATTTATTTTATTATCATTATTATTATTATTATCGATTTTTGTAGACAGCGTTTGCTTCGCTCTTTGGATGTGGATAGCTCCGGGCAAGTTTTAAGCGTCTTGGGTTAGCTTTGAAAACAACAGAATCCAAAACGAACCAATGAAATCATCCGTTAATTTTTAACTAATAAAAAAAAGTTCCGTTCCGAATCCACATTTCTTCGGTATACATCCAACTTGTATCTTGGTAGTGAAGGAGAAGGAGCTCACCCTCTCTGCGCGCTCCTCTATGCCAAGAAAGTCACGCTCTCCCTTTTTGCGGCGTTTCCTTGGGTGTTTAAATTAGTCTTTATGCTTTTCTTTTTGGGGGCCATCCTTTGTGATGCAACATTCAGATACACTGCGATGTGTCTTCGGTGTGACTGGCAAGCGGAGAGAGATAGGAATGACTCTGGTCTCTCCAAGAGCGTGTTTCTACGCGCTCCTCTCTCTCCGCTCAGCTGCTGCCTGCTGCTGCGCACCACGGTCCCTGCCACAACTGCTCCATCTATTCAAGCAGGATCAGAAGGGTAAAGCTGCACAAATTCAGCCTATACTGCACACCGTTTGCTTCTGAAAGTGTTTAACCAAATAATTTACGGCAACCTTTATGATTGTGAATTTATAAGTGTCCGATACCTGCAAGGCTCATTCTGAAAAAAAGAGAGAGGGAGTGCGTGTATTCTCTGCTCTCCAAATTACGCGGATTTCTGTCTTTGAAATTACGCATTTGAATTTTGGTGACTCTTGTCTTACAGTTTTTATAAGTACCTGAATTACTATTTTACACTAGGCTACCATTAACTGTGGCATTTTCAGCTTCTTCTTCGTCTTCTTTTATCACCTGCACTTCACCTACACAGACCTATAAAAAGCCATCACTACCATAAAGTCGCGAAAAGACATGAGCTATAAACGAATCTACCGCGATATCCTGGGATGAACTTGTAGCCAGCAGACACACAGAGGCACAATGAGGCCATCTACAGGATACAAGACTGCAGGAGGCTATGTGAGAGTGGGAGCCGACAGACTGAGCCGCAGCGTTGCATTAACGTCACCTCAGTAAACATGACTGACCAACTTTGAATTAAATTAGGTTCCCAGGAGCCGTGCTGCAGCATGAAGAGCCATAAATTAAGAGAGGTACAGAGTGTTGGTGTGTGTGTGTGTGTGTGTGTGTGTGTGTGTGTGTGTGTGTACGTACTTCTGTTTACTATGGGGACACAATCTGTTTATACTGTCAGCTGTGGTGAACCCCCCCGCCCCACCCCCCATTTTGGGACAAAAAGCAAGTTCCCATAAAGTAAAACATTAAACCGAAAAGGTTTAGATTAAGTTTTAAGTTCAAGAAATAAATATAAGCCAAAGTAATGTCCTCTGAAGTGATGTTTGTATGTGAGTCAGTGACTGAGAGAGAGCGAGATAGAGATGTGTACTACTCAAGCTATGCTATCATGCCACTGGCTGCCTGACAGGCTTGGCCAATTTGAATATTAACTATTTAGCAAGATGAAATCCTCAATGGACGCTCTCTCACTGTGTGTGTGTGTGTGTGTGTGTGTGTGTGTGTGTGTGTGT